AGACTAGGATTGGCAAAGGGCTGCAGATGAGGATCAAGAGAGAAGAAAGGAGAAAAGTATTTAAAGAAAATTGGAAAGGGGAAGGAGTGTCTACAAGCAAAGGCTTCACTGTCACATCTTCTTGCCCACCTTTTGGCACTGGACTTGACTTTGGGCTTCACTGGTTTGGCCTTCTTAGATTTGAATGCCTTGACAGGCTTGGCTTTGACAAGCTTGGATTTTTTGGCTTTCTTGGGAGTGGCAGCTGTCTTCTTCTTGGCCTTCTTTACTAGGGAGGCTGTGGGTTTCTTGCTTGGGGTTTTGGAGGCAGCCTTATTGAGCTTGGCTGACCTTTTTGGAGTAGCCACCTTCTTGACTTCCTTCTTGGTGTTCTTGAAGGTTACTGACCTCCTGGGTTCATCACTCTTGGCCAGCCAGAAGGAGCCCAAGACCTCCACCCCTTTGGTTTGCTTGAGGACACCCATGGTCACCAGGTGCTTGATGGATAACTTGATCCATCTACCGTGTAGTAGCTTTTGATATACTGATGAATGGACTGACATGAGGAGCCTGTGCAGTTTTTCTCCACCTGGATGGCCGCCACAACCACGTCTGAATACTGGTGGGGTGATTTGTGGACTTCTTGGAGGCCTTGGTCCTTTTGGGCTTGGCCACAAGAGTGGGCATGGAGTTCTTGGTCATGGTGGCCTCCTCGGTCCTGCTGCTGAAGAGGCCTCCTTGGACCTGCTGCTGAAGATGCCTTGCAAAGAGCCAGCCCTCACCTGAGGCTGAGCAAAGGTGGCCTCAGGATCTGCTCTCAGGCCCCTGACTACCAGGCCAGGCTAGGGTGAGGGGGTGGAGCCACTGCCTCTGGGCTCCAACGCAGCTTGCGGAAGGGTTCGCACTGCTGGTGGACCACTGGCTTTCAGCGCCTGACTCAGGCTCTGCCTCTGCCTCCTCTACCTCCCTTTTTCCAGCTTTCTTTATTTTCTAAGTAACTTAACTAAGACAGGAAGCAATTGATGCTTTCTTGCTCACTGGTCCAACCAAGGACAAGTCCACACAAAGTTCTTGGGATCTCCAAGGCCCTTTGTCACCTCTCAGACCTCTGTCCTATTGGGAGAAAAACTTTGTCAAGACCTGACCTAGGTAGAAAGCAGAAAGAGATGTGTGTGTGTGCGTGTGTGTGCATGTGTGTGTATGTGTAAATTGTGTCATTTCCTTCTCACACAAGCCAAAAAGTTGCAGAAGACCTTCCTGATGCTATTCTAAAACAACTGCTTTCAGCCTTGTGAGCTCACGGACATTGGCCTTTGTGAAAAGCAAGATGGAGCCAGAAGTCCACTCCACTCCTAGCTCCAAGCCTTCAGTAACATTTATTAACCTTCTTTTTTTGTTGAAAATATCATTCTTCCTTTGCATCTCCCTTGATGTCTTGAAAGAAGGTTAATTAGGCTAAAGAGTCAAGTGCTTTTGAGTTTATAAATGGACCACTATAAAAACATATTCCAATAAGATGCTTTCTGAAACTTTACCTTCATGTGAGAAAGATGAAGCTGAAATATATTAAGGTTCCTAGAACGTTTAGCACTAATAAATTTTAAAATGGTAACAATAACCAACATTCATAGAGAAATCCATATCTCTTTTAGTCTTGGTGTTATTCCCATGATGACCCAATTTACATCCTAGGCCAACTCAGGACACCTTTAAATAGAGGTGTAATGAAAGAAAGCTCTGCAATTAGTTGATTATAGGTTAATCTGTATTTCCAGTTGGTCTCCCCTTTATGATCACTAGAATCAACAGGATCTCATTAATTCAGATATGGCCTTCTGTACAGCCAGATTGCCTGCTATTAATACCTCTGGTTCTGTAACCTTTGAAGCAGATTTCTCTGATTCGGTTAACTACTCAGAACTGACCCCAACACTGAAAATATGTGAAGCACATGCTTTATTCTTGTGGGTGATAGTTATGATGGCAATCAGAAATAGATTTCCCAGAGGCCAAACATTGGTCATATAGGAGAAAATATCTAGCCCATGGGCTGGACAGCTGTTAAGGGAGAGCTGATGCTCCTGGACTGAGAGCCTTTGTCCAGTGGAGTGGGAGTGTGATTTTCTCTTTCTTCCTCACTTTCTGATCTGCACACCCTCTCCTCTCCAGATAGAGCTAAGCACAATCTTGGTGGGCGTCTGCAAGGATTAGTACACACATGTGTGGCAGATGGCGACAGTGCATTGTTCTCTCTGGCCCAGAGTGAGCTTTTGGAACCTGATATCGGTGATCTGATAGTAAGCATATTACTATAAAGGTCATTTTCTTATGCCTTGAGATTAAGATGACATCTAAAAAGCCAGCAGTCTAGGGTTGGGTGTGTGGCTCAATAGTAGAATGCTTATCTAGCATGTGCAAGGCCCTTGGTTCAATCCCCTGCATCACAAAAATAAATAAATAAAAAGTCAGCTTTCGGTAAATGGTAAAATTGCAAGTAATCCTTGACCAGAAAAGTCTATTTTTGGAAACAGATGGGGACAAAAGTTATAATGAAGAGCCTTCTACCTTCGAGCATTTCCAAAATGGAATGTACTTTCCTTCAGCTTGTACTGGAGAAGTGAGAGGGATCAGGACTTTCTCCTACCTGTGTCCTCTAAGGACCTGGCATAGTTATTTGCCCAAAGTGGCCCCATGTGGCTTCAACTCTCCACTAATAGGCCTGCTCTTCTGCTGGGCATATTTCTCGTAGCTGCCCATTGGACTTGAAGTTTCAATCTATCTTCACCCTCAATCACATTGCAGACTTACAAAGCAAAAAATCCCCCAGGCCCTCCAGTCAACATGGGCTTTCATATTGAGTTACACGAAGAAATACACTTCCAATAAAATATCAGATTGCAAATATCCCTCAGATCTCACCACAAAAGTTCCGATGTATTAAAAAAAATGGTTTTCTCCATTCAAAATGGAATTATTACTGGAACTCAATTCCTAATGGTTACATAGTCTAGTGACATGGCGGATGTCCAATGGAAGCTTAGCTCAAGGGGCATAGAGACATGGCTGATCCATAGCTCTTCAAGGCTGGCTGCCTTCCCATTAGCTCCTTCAAATTCCTGACAGACTTCTTATGGTTATTTTACAGACCTGGATGCCAATACACAGGGGATATAAGATCAGAAGATGAGGTTCTAGGTTGTCCATGTGAACTCCAGCAAGCATGTTCAACTACACATCTATCAATGGGCTTAGACTTAATCTCCAAGGCTAGATCTAAAATGCCTCATCTTCCTCCCAAAGTGCAACACAGGCCCACCGCACAATCAGAGGCCTGTTGCCTAAAGCTGGAAAACCAAGGTGGCAGAAGTTGGCTTCAGGAGGTGATTAGTCTGTCCTAGCTACACTTCAAAGCTGCACAGTCCCACTGTCCACCCTCGCAGGAGATGAGTGATGGATTCCCTTGGAGCCCATTGAAGCTTCCTTGCTTCTCCTAAACTGAATCTCTGTCTCATGACCCATCTCAAGCTGCAACGCTTGGCCTCCCAGGTGAACAGCTTTCAAGTCCATGGTACATGGCTCTCAGCCACAACTTCCCCTTGTAACTCTCTCATGACCACTTACTTCCTTAGACACCATCACTGCAGACCCCACTCTAAGCAAACATCTCCCATCCTCTCCACAGGAGCTTCAATGTATTTTAAAAGAATGTTTTTCTCCATTCCAAATGAAATTTGTTAACTGGAATTCAATTCCTATTGAATATGTAAGTTTTTCATAAAAATTATTAAAACATGTTTACCTTTATCCAAGAGTGGATCTAAGTTTTGTCAACCTCATGTGGGGTGATATGCAATTAGTCATGGATGGGCCAGGGCAAATGAGGAGCCCTGAGGCTGAAGCCTCATCAGCTCCATGGTACACTCACCACCAACATTACCTAGGGAACTGAATCCCAGAAGAGCACAGAGCTGCTGCTTACTTACTGTGATTTCTTACTATAAGCAGCATAGTATGAAGAAGAGCCTGAGTTTGGGAGTTGTAAAGGCCTAGGTTTGCATTTCTTTACCTGCTTTGTGATTTTTGAGCATAAAGTTACCTCACTATATTTTTATTCCCCTCTCTGAAAAAAAATGCTAAGAATACATATCACAGGTATGTATGTATGTTGTGAGGATTATGAGATGGTATAGTTTGGATCTGGAAAGTTCCCTAAAGGTCCATGTGTTTAGGATTGGTTCCCCACCTGTTGCACTATTGGGAGGTGGCAGAACCCTTAGGAGGTGGGATCTACTAGGACTTAGCTCATTGGGGTGTGCCCTTAAAGAGAATATAGGAACACCTAACCCCTTCTCTCTCTCTCTTTCTGGCATCTTGACAACCATGAGGTAAGCAGCTTCCTCTGCTATTTACTCCCACCATGATGTATTGCCTCAAAGGCAATGGGACCAGATGACCATGGAATTAAACCTCTGAAACCATGAGCCAAAAAAATCTTTCCTCCTTAAAAGCTGTCTCAGGTATTTTGCTATGGTGATAAAAAGCTGACTAACATACAACAGACGATGTCTTTTTTGTAACACATGCAAAGGTATTGAATCCTATTCATCAGTGGATGAAGGATCAGGCTCCTATTTAACAGTTTTCCTTAGAATTTAGTGTATGCGATTTAAATCTGCCTTACTTCAAGGAAAGTTAGCTATTAACTTGCCAAACATTAATGAGTAAAGAGCTTGCAAGCCAACATTCCAAGGTAGTACGAATGTATAAAAAACAAGATATAAAACAGAACCCCACTTACCCTAAACCAGTGACTCACGATTATTTTTCTACTTCAGTGTACCAGAAGATATATGTGCCAGCTGGCGACAATAGCTGTACCAAGCCACAAGAGAAGAGCAGCATACAACTTACAAAGATTTCTGTTATTTGCCTTCTTGTGGTGCATCTTTCTCTCCAACGTATTTCCCAACCCCACGGCCCACGCCAGTCCCAGTTGACAATCACACTCCTTACAATAATTGAGACAAAATACTGAATTTATTCAGTTGATCTGACCACTTACATTGGACACATGTATTTGGGTTTCATTTATATAATGTAAAAACATACTTTAAGTAGGAGTACTCACATACTTTAAAATGTTAAAAATATATATAAGATTCATAAAAGCATTTGATATAAAACATACACAGTATGCTATTTTTAATAAACAAATGCTTTAAAGAAAATAGTCATATGAATTATAAAAGCATCACCAAGAATTTATAAGTTTCCATTTTCTTAAAGGTCGCATCTCTCATCCTTTGGGATGTACAGAAATTATGTGGTTTACACAGTTTTATCCACATTCAAAACATCATGTTTTAAATGTTTTAAGCATAGCATGTACAGTACAATGTTTCCATAGGAACATAACACAAACTCTCACTAGTGGCCTGCTGTCACATGGCTCCTAATTGATCAGCCATTTTTAAGACACTAGTTAAGCTTATTGCTACAATATTCAATTTATTCTATTTATCCAAAATACAATGAATTCAATTTATAATCTTAATAATGGCTCAAAGAGTTATACACAATATACACCAATATATACAAAATAACTGTTCTGAGTTAAATGAAGATCCCATACTTAAATAAGAGCCAAGAATAGTAATGTTAGGCTAAGATCCTCGTGATTAGTAATTTTTAAATTTCAAGCAAAGTGCACAGTGAATGGTATTAGTTACCAGAAACGATCCTTCTATGAATCTCCACTTTCTCTTTTGAGTCCCACCACCTGAGAAATGAGAACCTTGAGGCCTGGCGTACACCAGAGTAGCTTTACGATCAAACACACAGGGGCCACCTGGAGTCACATTCATGTCATGGGAGCCCTCACTGACCCCTAATAAAGAGTATGATTCAATGTCCAGAGCCACTGTGTGGCCTGCAGAACCAGCAGCAGGAGTTAAGTGCTGTCTTAGTTTGGAGCAAACAATGCCACTCATTAGCCATATTCCAGTGTTGGTGGACCCCGAACAAGATTGAAATAGCCAGCCAGGGCTCCAAGGTCTATGTAGAGAGAACGCTGTCTCTTGAGCACCTCAGACTCCTCAGTGCTTCCTGTGCATGAAGAATCTGAAAGGGGAAACATCGAAACAATAAAATAAATGATGAGAATGTGTCAAAGACAGATCCTTCAGCAAAGAAATCATTCTCTGGGAAATAACCAACCCTACAGTGTCCCAGCTTTGGTGTCATCAGAATACCTCTGATCTTTAGTGTCTGGCCTCTGAACACACTAAGGGCTAGCTTATGGAATATGACGTAGACAGTCAATGAAGATAAGAAATTAGCTAGAATTCCTGGCATATTTTCCAACAGTCCAGATGGTTTTATCTAAAAACTTTAAAAAAACAGACAAGTACAAAGGAATGCAGACAAGCAAGTGTTCCAGGCTTGACATTTGGGTTTGGATCTTCATGGATTAAGAATGCCACCAATTAACAAAAATGGAGCCCCTTCTCCATTCATAGCCAGTGTTCCTGGAATGTATACTGCCTTTCCTAGATGGGACTGAGTCATACTTGGCAAGGAGGTTTTCAACAGAAGAAGATGACGTGCAAGTTGACTCCAAGCTTAGTATCTCACCTGTGCAGAGAACTGCCCCAAGTTTCTAACCACGGCCTGGAGGAGCCATAATTGGACCAAACAGAATGCAGCATTTTCCAACAACAAAGCTGTCATGCTCGACTTGTTTTTAAAGCCAAATGAAATTCTCCGTTGCAAAAAGCAACTCAGAGGCAACTGCCAATGACTGTGTTACCTGTATTTGTATCAAAAACCTCTTCTGATTTGGTGGCAAATGAGCCAATTTTTAAAGATGCTTTCACTAATGTTGTAATTGTTTCTCATACAATGCATGGCACTCCAGAAGTCATTCTTTTTGTTATTGTTTTGTTTTTGAAACAGGGTTGGCCTGGCTGGTCTTGAACACCTAGGCTCAAGCGTTCCTGTTGCCTCAGCCGCCTGAGTAGCTGGGACTAGAGGTGTGTGCCGTGGTGCCTGACTGCTATTTCTTTTTCTCCTGAACTACATCAGAGGTTTGATGTAGATGGAAGGAGGGGTCAGGGGCATTGTCTATAGCAGGGTGTCCTACCAGCAATGTTCTCAGGAAGCTCCAGCTCCTTCCTGCTCAGCAGTCTCTTCCGCTCCAAGAGGGCTGAGTCCAGACTCTGACAGCGAGGCTGATCCTCTCTGGGGGGGTTCAGGGCTTCGTGTTTTAGGAGGTCTGCTGCTCTCGGGCGGTGATTAGGGTTCCTCTCTAGGGCAGTTTCTATCAGCTCTCTCATGCCTGGACTGCAGTCATCAGCAATGTCCTCTAATGGAGGTGCTTGCTTGTGGATCTACCCATAACACAGCACTTTTAGCATCAATGGTAAAGACAGAAACCCTCGATAGGAAAAGCAAACTTTCCAGAGTTCAAAAGCACATTGCTTCCTACCACATGACGTGCAGCAAATACAGTTCAGACTCTGAAACAAGCGTCCCTTTTTATCTCCCAGCAAGCTAAACCATCTTTTGGTTTAATGCTGCAAAAGGTACATAAGCAATGACAGCTTCCTATTAGTGGCCAGAGGCCACCATGCAGTTGTAGGGAAATGTCTGCTCCTAAGTCTTTCACAGTAACATGGGAGACACACGTTATGTTCCACTACATGCCAGGCTGGCAGGAGAGCAATCATTTGGTACCTTCTTTTAAAAAGAAAGTGTTCAAAGAACACTTACTTGGCTGACAGATTTTTAGCATTCTGATGATACTAAATGGTATTTTATTATTATACATAAAGTATAATGGAATAGTATATAATTTATATCCAATGCACATCTGACGTTTGCTTAGTGGGGTCTCGCTAAAACAGCCATGTTTTCTTTGCAAGAATGGAGCTTCTGTCTACAGGGGAAGAACTTGCAGCCACTTCTCATGGGTCACTATTCCACCATCCCCCAACTCAGGTGTGGAAGGTAGAGGAGGGACAGCAGCCCCTCTATCCCAGCAGGCAGAACTCAGCAGGCAGACCCTCACTTACTATGTACAGGTAGGAGGGGTAGGCTGAGCGGGGGTAGCGCTTCACCCAAGGTGGGGTGCCTGTCTGCATGTGGATAAGCGTGGCCCCCAGGCTGTAGATGTCTGCTTTTGTGGAATGGCCCCTGCACAAGATCACCTCTGGGCTCATGTAAATCTGAAAAAGACACGGAAACACCATTTGTCTCAGTTTGCATTTCCCTGAACCCATTCTGGAAACTGGCTCTTTTGCCTCTCATATTTAATTCATGCTTCATCCCTTTGGAGAGGATGTCATTGCTATGGAGAACACCGCAGACATTCTCTACAGCCAGGACACTTCAGATGAAGGTTCTCTGCAGTCCAACAAAGAACGCTCTCTGCACAGACTGAACACATGGCTGATCTGGCAGCAAAGAGCCTGGGGCCAAGAACCCACTAGAGTTCTGCAAACACTGATCATGGATAGTTCATCTGTCTGTTAAAACACCAATTCCTTTTATATTTGAATGACACCACAAACATACTTCTTCATCTGTTTGTGATTTAACCGACAAACTTCTATCTGCAGTGCTAAAAAGGTGGCAGAATCCTATAGGGTATGAACACCAAATGCTCAGAATGAAAGAATTTAAAAAATAAAATGTATGAGCAGAGAGTGGTGATTAAGTGGTACAGCATCTGTCTGGCAAGCACAAAGCTCTGAGTTCAAATCCCGGTTCCACACACAAAAAAAACAAACAACAGCAGAAAAATAAGAAACACTGAAAATCCCAAATCTGAAATGCTTTAAAATCTGAAGCTTTTTCAGCAAGATGCCACAAGTGGAAATTTCCACATCTGACCTCATGTGACAAATCACAGTAAAAATGCAAGTAACACTAAAAGAATTGTAGAAAATGACCTTCAGGCTATGTGTACGTACTGCATAGAAACATAAATGAATTTTGTGTTTGGACTTGGGTTTCCTCCTGCAAGATATCTCATTGTATATGTGTGAATATCCCAAAATCTGAAAAAAAAAAAAAATCCAAAATCTGAAGCACTTCTGACCCAAACATTTCAGATAAAGGATACTGAACATGAATTCAGCTTTCAAAAGTTTTTAAGCTGTCATGTGAATATGGGGAAAGGGTTTGGTGTTCCCGGAATACATTTCTGAGTAAATAACTAAAGAGCTAGCTTTCAAAAACTGGGGAAATTGCCCAGTTTCCCCATCCTCAGCCTGCTCGACTCCTTCCTAAAACTCACTTCCGGGCAGGCTTCCTTTGGCTCTCAGCATACAAGCTAAACTGAGCTCCTTGTTCACAAACTTTCCCTGTAGCCAAGACACAGTTTTTGGATTCTGAAAGACTTTCTGAATAAATATAATCACACAGTTAAGAAAAATAAATGTAGGACTTTGTACCTATGGTCAATAACAATGTGTCTTACACTTAACATTTTGCTAAGAGGGTAGATCTGATGTTTAGTGTCCTTACTGCAATCAAGTAAAAGAAAAAAAAAGAAAGAAAGAAAACTGGAGTGGAAATTGCTGACAATAAGAGATACCTATCTCCTCCTCCCCATCCCCATATGGAGCAAGAACTGAGCAAACTGTAAACCGTTGGTCTGATGGGCCATATCTGTGCAGATTCTAGCTGACTGCACACTAGGCTGCCTTTGGGGGAGGTGGCATCCGGTCCAGCCTGGTAACCTGGGTGCAGGCCGTCAAGCAGACAGTTCCTCAAGCTATCCATGAGTCAGAAGAGCCAGGCCAGTGAGCCCTCAGGCATGGAGAGCAAGTGCTAGCTGCCTTGAAGGCACAGACCAGAGCCAATGGGACCCTCACCCTCTCCGAGAGTTCTGCATCTCAGAGTGTCTGTGCCTGTGCACATGTGTGCGTGTGATATTATATGTACACTCACAGAAGGTAAGTTTCTGTAAGACTCAGAAGAAAGTAAGAACTTTTTAAAAAGACCACCCTATGGAAGTAATCCTAATTTGTTATTTACATACACTATTTAGTCTTTCTCCCCACGATGTAACTAAAGAACAATAAATATCTGTCAGATTAACGCTGGATATGTATTACATGGTTACAATACATTGCTCTGAGTATGAACAGTGAGAAAGAAAGGGAGGAGGGAGAAAGACCCACAGGTGATTAGTGTTTGGTGAGCTATATTGAAGAGATCAGAAATGGGGTTGTAATGGAAAGCCGATCCATATAGCTAACAAGATCATTTTATCTCATTTGTTCTTTTATTATGAGGAGAAAAGGAAGCGGGTTGGAAGGCTTCTTTGGGACTTCACAAGCATTATCTCACTTCTCCTTATCCAGCTTCAGTTTCTAAGTACTGTACAGATAGTAAATGCAGGTTGATTACTAGGAAGCAGTAGAGCATCTTCCTAGTAAGCACAGAGCACTGAGTTCAAACCTCAGTACTACCAAAAAGCAAAGACCTTTTAACTATAAACACTAAAGTCAGTGTTGCCCTTCATACAAAGCAACTTACAGTAGCTCAAAATTCTTGCTGTACTATTGAGGAGTGAAATATGTTATTATTACACATCTAAGCATCCCGGTAGAGAATCCCAGAAAAGACATGCCTTTCTCCAGCATTGCAAAATATTCTATTTGACCACACTGCCGGGAAGCAAAGTTATTTTCCATCTCTGATACCATAAATAGTTGGTTTCTCAAACTGGCTCTTGGGTGGAATGTCACATATCTGAAGTCCTGACTAAGGCCAAAATATGCTGAAACATTTTTCCAAAGAAAACATGCCATAAGCATGAAGTCTGATGAGGTTTTGTGTTTTGGTGAAGTACTTTTATGATCTGGAGACAAAACATTCATTAAAAAAAAAGTCTATAGTTTTCTCTTCTGAATATTATTCTGTTCACAGACAGCTATCAAGAGACCTCTCTCAAGTAAGTTCCAAGGACGTCAAGAAATTCACCAAAGCAGAGGTTTCTTCTGCTGCCCAGGAAGTCTTTGGTTTGAGAGAGTTAAGAAAAGTCTTCTAGAATTTTAGAGTTAAAAGAAGACCTTTATTTTTTCACTGCAATTCAGTTCAAGGAGGGTTGTCATCTGGCTGAACACCAAGACTGACCTGGTGACTTTGAGGCACAAATGACAGCCAAGAACCCCTCACCACATGAGGTGAGCACCTCCAGGGAAGAGGAGGGCGGCAGCTTAGCTTGGGAGGCTGTAGTGGAGCCTCAGGCTGCTGGAGAGTAGCCAGAGGGGCGGCTCTCCCTTCCCAGCCACATCCGGAACGCCCCTGTTGATCTTTCTAAAAGAGGTCTTGGGGGATGGGGAGGTGGGTCAGTTGAGGGGAGGCTTATCAATGTGCTCTGAATTGTACTGAGGTAGGGCTACTGCACAAGAGAGGGACCACAGGAAGCCATCGTGCACTGCATACCTCAAAAAGCTACAGGAAAGGGTTTTGAATGTTTTCACCAAAAAAAAGGTGATACGGGCTGGGAGAAGGCAGATAGGTTTAACCTGCTGCACAATAGGTATTCATACTGTATGGAAACATCATGGAGTACCCCATTCATGTGTACAATTTTTGTGTTTTTATGTATTAGTTTAAAAAATTCATTTAAGCCAAAAAGAAACAATAAGATGATGTGTTAGAATAGCTTTCTAAAAATTTAATTAATTAAAATAAAATAAGTCCTCCCAAAGAGTGAGAATGGCTGAAGTCCCACCACTAGCAGGCTCACTGGGGCCCACAACAGCCCATCACCTGCAGATGCTCAGTAAATATTCCTTAAATAAATCAAATGCAAACGTCCTAGTGTGAGTGTTCAATCAAACATATTACTGACGGCCCACCCGCGCCTGTCCAACAACCTCATTTAGATTCAAGAAAGGCTTTCTTTCTTCACAGATGAGTTAAATATTATCACTGTTTCATAGCTTCAAATAAGATGAATTTGTGCTCACAACTTCAGTTTTATTATCGGATCCCTAAGATGAAAGCTAGGTCTGGATGGTAAGTCCTCAATAAATATCAATGACCAAGAGAATGAAGACTATAATTGAACCAAAACTTAGTGGTGTCAGTTATACTAGTAGTGTGTGTTACCGGTATATTGGCTCTGTCACAGTTACACAGCAGTTAAATCTTAGGTTTATTTGGAAAGAACAGAGTTCAAATCCAAATTCTGTCAGTAGCAAGTAACTTCAGATGTTTCATTTTAATCTCTTCAAGCTTATTTCCTTATTGTCAAATAGGAGGAATAATAATAGTATCTGCTACAAAAATAGCATTTACCAATCATAGAGTTCTTGTGAGGATTAAATAATATAATTCATTGGAAGTGCTAAAATTATTATTATAAAGCTAAGTATAATTCCATAATTGCTTTGAAAGCCCAACCGTGGGCTTTCAAAGTTCAAATAAATATCCCTCGTTTGAAATGTTTGGGACCCAGAAGTATTTCAGAATTAGGAGATTTTAGTATTTTGGAATATCTGCATAGACGCTGCTGGCAGTCTATTTTGACTTTACATTGTTTGGAAGTGCTATGAATGTATGTTCATATATATGTACACATGTCCTACAAAGCATATACACGTGCAGTTTGTGTATGCATGTTTTTAATGCAATATCATATAGCATATTGTAAATGTCATCATGTGTGATAAATGACAGAGCAAAAAGAAGTTAAAATTAAAGTGCTAAATGCTACTTGGCACACAGTGCTCATTAAACGTGTTCTAAAAACAATAGTGATTTAGTACAATGCCTTTCATTCCCTTCTTAGGCCTTTCCTATGGTAATTCTAGAATGTGTCCTTTCATTCTTAATAACATACTAACAATCTTCACAGGAATATAATCACCTCTGTTCCTCGGAGGTCCTTAGGAAAATAGATATCTTCAGTCATTTGAACACTTAGGCCAAAATCCACCAAAACAGCTTTTGTTGACATGAAAACAATGTTACTGGCTGTAATGAGAAATGTTTAGCATAAAATTATTTATAGACCTGTATACAAAATGAAAGCTTCATCTAAAACAATGAGTCTCAAACTGGAATAGACTGGATTGTTTCCTAATAAGACAGGCTTGCAATGTTCAAAAGAGGAGCACAGATATTGGTATGTGGTTAAATCACTTTAAATCTATCAAGAATCTAGCCAATGTGAACACAGATGATGGTAGCTATTAATAAAGCTCAAAAGCTTGAGTTTCAAACCTTAAGATATAAGCCTACTACTACCAAGCTACTTTTCTAAGACAAAAAGCAAAAGTTGTACTAGTCCAATCTAGCACTAGGTATTAAAGATTTAGAGTGGGTCTCTCTGGCCTGTTGCCTCACCATTGGATCTCAAGTCTAGAAAACAGTAAGAAAGGGCTTGTTTAATGATTATTGTCAAAGTGGTGTTCAAAATTTAAAAGTTCCCTAACTATGCATGTGCTAGCAAATTACTTTTTTTTTTTTGGTGCTGGAGATGGAACCCAGGGCCTCATGCACGCTAAGCACTTGCTTTACCATTGAGTCACACTCTCAGCTTTAAATGACTATTTTAAAAGTCTTGATAGGCGGTGTACCTAACTGATGTGTGGCTATACTCTTTGCACTTACTGTTAGCTAACCATCCTTTCTTCTGAAAGCTGAAGCAGCCTAGCTTGATCCTAAGACCTGTCTCAGGAGCACAGAGAGGAAGGTGACAGTGTTCCAAGGGAACTGTCTTGTCTTCCATTTGCCTACTATATAGGGAGTCTCTTTTAGCCAAAATGGTATACAGCTTAAGCTACTTACGTTTAATATCGTGGTGAATCACTCTCTTGGAGTGTAGAAAATCAAGTCCCTTGAGAACGTGCTTTGTCACCCAAATAATTTCAAATTCTCTCATAGGGCCACAACTCTCCAACTTCTCCAGGACAGACCCTCCCTCACCCGCTTCCATAAAGAGATGGACAGTGTCACCCCACAGGACAGCTCCATATAACTCAGCAATGTTCTCGTGCCGGAAGCAAGCCTGGATTTCCACATCAGATGGCTTAAATTGATCTACAGGGATCTAGAAGACAAAAATACCCGCAAAATTCTAAACAACCTCATAAGTGAAAATACATAGAATACAGGTCAAACCAGAAGTCAAATAGGTAACTTAAAGATACTTTTGACTTGTATGAAATGGTACTGCCATGGTAAAATGGTCTTCTCAGATCTGCATCAGCATTAATTATGTCATAGGGGTGAAATTCAAAACAAGAACATAAACAACAAAATGGTGAAGTGCTATTTTCATTTGTAAGGATCCAATCAAGGTTTCAAAATTGCAAATGAATCAAAAGTGAGAGAATTTCTGATCTCTTACACACATCATCTTTATGACACCTAGATTTTAGGCTGTATTGTTTCAATATTTCAACTTGTGAGATAACAAGAAGGCTTTGGTCCCTTAATCACACTCTAGTAATGCATTTAAAATAAGCACTGAACCATCTATCCATCCCATGGAAAAATTAGATAGTTATTAATAAGAAAGAAATATCTTTTTCAAGAGAAACTTGGAAATGTCTTTAAAATACAGCAGTGGGTTAAAAGAAAATGAGTCCTACCTATAGCCTTCCACATAGCTGAGATTATAGTCTGTCTAGGCACATATGTTATAGACTTTCCAAAGTGCCAGTAGTTTGGCAGCCATGGGTTTTTTTTTTTTTTTTCCTCTTTTTGGGAATGGAACTCAGGCTCAGGGTCTCACACTTGCTAGGTAAGCACTCTACCACTTGGGCCACTCCACCAGCCCATCAGTTATTAGTAAGGAGAGACCAGGTCTTTTCAGTCATTGTATATTGAAATTCAGCTTTTAAACCTGCAGTCTTGAAAAGCCTTGGGCTCTCCCAGTTTCTGCTTCTTAGCCTGACCCCCTCCCCAGGGGACAGGATGAAACAGTTGTACACAGATTTGCTCTTCCAATGCAGGAGAGTTCGCTTCCACTCCCCTCCAAGAGCAATGATGGTAGTCAAGTCAATGCAATCCTTTAATTAGATTAAAATCAAGTAAGCAGCTAAGAAGAGATTTGGAAACTGACTGGCTCCAGGGAGCAAGCAAATCCAGACACACCAATGCTTTGAGGCAGGGCCCCTTAGATAAGATCCAGTGTAAGGAGTAGGACCTTGGGTTGACACAAATAAACCAAGGCCAGAATGTCAGACCTGCAGTGTGAATATACATACCAGTTTACAGGCCATTCTTTTCTTAGTCTTTATGTCTTGTGCTAAGTACACTTTTCCAAAGGCCCCACGAGGAATGAAATCAGAGCCAATGTTCCTGTAAGTCAGCTTCCAAGGGATAAGGAGAACATCAGAGTCTATTTGGTAGCGTCCATTCTGAGGAGTGATCACCTATGAGAAAATAAATGCAGAAGGTGAGAATTTCAGCAAAGTTGTCCTTTCCTAAGACCCACCAATAGAAGCATTCTCACACCACACTTAAATTAATTGCCATTCATTGTAAATGTATAATCCTGATGCTTTACAGAGACTATATTTAGAACTTGAGCAAGACAGAGAAAGCATGTAACAGACATGGGTCCCTGGTCAGATCTGGTCCTATTTTCAAATACTCATGAGTAATTAATTACCAAGTAGAACTCGAAAAAGTATTTATCTAAGGAATATAATTACCATGACCCAAAGACTGAAAATAAAGATTGCAACTGCGCCTGTAGGTTGACTTGTTTCTAATAAAATGTGCTAACCTGTTTGTCTGCATAGCTATTACTCACACATGATGCACACAGAGAGCGTGGAAATTAACTGAGGATCACAGAGAACTGTGCAAAACAATGCGTGGGACCAGAGCAATGAGTTTACAATGCTACACAAATAAAGTCAGTGCAGAATTATTTGTCTTCGGCTTAGTCATTCAGTGTTTACTATGCGCCTAACACATGCCCAGCACTGGATTTGGTGCTAAGGAGGCAGCCACGAGCAAGAGACAGATGGTACGTGACCTCTGAGGCTTCATGGGCAAGAAAACACTTAGAATCATAGCTTTTAAAACTAGCCAACTAAGGGCTAGGGGTACAGCTCAGTGGTAGAACACTTGCCTAGTATGCACAAGGCCCTGGGTTTGATCCCCAGTACTGAAAAAGCAAAAAATAAAAAACAAACAACTAATTGACTCAAAGAAAAAATAAGTAAACAAAAACAAAACGAGTCAACTTAAAATTTTTGAGATGTATCCTGATAACATCATGGGATACAGGATGTGTGCATTTGTCAAAGCTCACCCAAGTAGACATCTGAGATCTGCGTATTTTACAGTATAGAAAGTATATCTCAACTTCTAAAGAGAAAAAAATGAAAAGGGAAAATAATCACAATTAAAATTAAAACAAATTAACATGGTAAGCCATAGGAAGTAGGACCTGGAACACGAGCCATAAAAAAAAATGTCTAAAGTATTCTTTTAAGGGATAAATAGTCTCCAAAAATATCAGTTTTCCTTAAATGTAATGAGCAATATTATGGCTTCAGATGATGAATTCAGGAATTATAAAAGTATGAAAGAGCATTAAGTTATGTGAAGGAGGGAAGACACTGAAGGGGAAGGTGGAAAACCCCAAATCCATCCCATGGGAGAAGAATGAGCACCTGAATTCTACTGCAGATGCCTGGGATTTCTCACTCTCCATTACAGGCATAGTCCTAATAACCGGAAGGGTTATTCAATCAGCCTCCAATACTGCTAATTTTAGCTACACATCCCATAACCACATGCTTGCTATTAGTCAGGGCATGAGACAGAGAATAACCCTAATACTTAGAAATGCAAAGTCACTATGTTTAAAAGTTCTATGTTTACCAAGTGCTTCTGCTGTGTGGGACCCTGTGCAGGACTCTAGAGGGGACAGGAGGGAGTACAGTTTGTAATATGACCTCCTCTCTGAAGGTTCACCTCTGGTCACTGGAGGCCTCATCTTGCAGCACGCCGAGGACTGGGTAAATGCAGTCCCATCCACATTTAGACAGAAGAATGCTCACAGCACACAGGAATGCTTGCAGGCTACCCCCTTCTTACTGTTAAATACTGACAGATCCAATTTCAATCCACCCTCGAGTTAACCATGTTAACCTGGGTTAACAAGGGTTTAACTTGTCTCCACAGAAGTTTTACTTTTATCCAAACTAAACTTATAACCCAATTTCATCCTTTTCTTATGTCCAAGAGGATACTGAGTGCTAAGTATGCACCCAGGCTCTGTGCTCAGTACTTCACTACATTTTCTCATCAAAGTCTATAACCATCCTCCCAGGTAAGGACTGATTTTATCTGCACTTCATAGATGAGGAAACTGACTTCACAAGGTTAAGGAACTTGCTAGTCAGCATCAGAGATAGGATTCAAACTCAGGTCTGCAAAACCCCAAAGCCACAACTCCTAGTCTTTACACAAAAGACTTTTGTGCTCCAGAAGACTGTAATTAAAGCTGAGCTATCATGCAAACCCAGTTGTCAAAAACCTGCCTTCCCCCTAATCTACGGACCTGCCTGGGGACCCTCTTCTGAATGCACCCTGCTTTTTCTTTGATGATAGGCCCTGAACTTACCTGGTGAGGTGTGATTCCTGACCACTGTGCAGCTCTGCAGACTTCTTGGTTCTTTCCTTAGCCCCAGACCGTCCCTATTTGGATTTGCAATGGGTTTGGTTTTTTTAATCTAATTCTTTCTAGGGGCCCCACCTCGCAATCTCACAGTACTCTGTGCTGTTTATCTCTGCCAATTTGTCCACTTATCAAAGTCATCTTCAAGTGCAGACACTGCAACGCATGCCTTCTGCTTCCCCATCCAGATGTCTACTTTTATACTAAAACAACTCTGGGCTGAGAGGCAGCACTTGAGAAAAACGTTCAGGTGTTTTAATAAGAATAAGTCCTGGGAGTGCCTCTGTGATATGGCTACCATGAAGCAGATGTGACCTTGAGCTACAGTCACAAAGGCAGATTTTCTAGAACAAAGATCTCACTAGCTCTGCCTACTTTGCTGGTCACACAACAAATGGAACCCATGTTCAAATTCTGATGGCACAGTCTTGAGTTCAAACAGCACTGCTGGATGACAAGGAGAGTTAATACTATAATGAGTCAGAAGTAGCAGACATAGCTAGAAATGATTGTGCAGAGAGAGAGATCCAGGGAGCATCCAAGTTTTAAAATATTGGAGGGACTGCATAAGAAAGGGAGTAACAACTGTATACAACTGCCACAATGGCTGGCATTCATTGGACACTACGTGTACGCAGATCACACGTAGTATTTGAACCAAACAACTTTATACAGTAAATGCTATGAGGTTACCCATTTTACTGGTGGGCAAACTGAGGCATGGAGGGATAAAATAACTACTCCAAAGCCACATAGCCAATCCATAGTTCTGAGGCAAACTACATACCAGGGACTTTAATTCAGAGTCCACAGCCTTCAGCACCACTCACTGTATATACCATTTTTTTTCAGCCAAAAAGCAGGACTAAGTATAGGGCGAGGGAAGAAGTCAAGCGGTCCATTTTAGTTTCACATAAGGAAGAATTTTCTTAGTCAGAATTTGACAACTACGACATCGAATGGCCCAGTATGTGCTGAGGTCCTCATCACAGTAGATTTTGAAGCACAGACACAAATGCTGTAGCCATTGTTAGAGATGACGATGTGGGGTGACTCAAACTACAGAGGGCTGAACTCACGTACCTTTAAGGGTTTTTTCCAACCCTGAGAAGCCCTGACCGCACGACTAAGTTCCAAGAAACATCACTCAGCATCTCACACAGGTTTCTATGAATCCCTTGGAGCCCGTCAGCTCCATAAATAGCCACCAAAGAATTGAGTGTGTGAAACGCATCTTGGATTATTCAACCCTAGCTCAGGTTATGAAGTGGTTATTTATAAATAATAACACTCTGACACAGAGCAACTCCTAGATTTAGTCTCTCAAAGTTCCTTCCCCCGGCCATGCTGGATGGTGGGTAACAAACATTAACAAACATTATATTTAAGAAAACAGCACGTACACGCATGCGCACGCGCACACCCGCGCGCACGCACGCACACACAGAGTGCCATTCAACATGCCTACGCTTCGGGAAGTTTTTACAATCCCTGGTTCTCCACCCTGGCTAATTAATTCTGGTACTGTGGTTGTTAGCTGCCTGAACACACCAAGTCTCTATGCCTCCAGGCCTTTGCACATGCTGTTCCCTGCATCAGAAACACTCTCCACTTCATCTGGCTGACTCCAGCTGGGTGCTTCAGACTTGGCTTAGGTGCCAATTCTTCCTGGAAGCCCATGTCCCTGCTGATATTTCCCTTACCCCCTCCCTACACTCGTGGCTGTGTGAGGCGTCCTGCCCAAGCATTCCCAGAACAGTCAGGGTGTAGTCGTATCAGGATTGAGCACACTGTGTTACAATCACTTGTTCACTTGTCTCCTGCACCACGCAACGAGCTCCCTACACCACAGACTATTCCAAAGTCTCTCTATCTGGCACCTGGAAGAGCACCTGATACATAGAGATATCCCAACTCTGTCACCAACTGAATGGTGAATATTTGAAAGAAGGTACTAGGTACATTTTATGGATGGATTTTTGCCTTGGAACCAATCTAGGTAGTAGGTTATTTTCTAATGCAGAGAGAAAAAGAATAGCAAATAAAGCCCAAGAGTTGAAAAGCTTTGAAAAGGCAGTAGGAAGAGGAGAGAAAGGTCACGACCACAGGATGGATCTGTAGAGAACACCATGCTAGGAGGACAGGAGCTAAAACCAAGCTCCACCCCTAGCACCACCACATCTCGGATTGGCTATGATCAGAGATGACAAAGTCCGATGCACACACCATTATTTATGAAGCAAAGAGCTGTCATACAGGGCCACCAGTAGCAGGGATGTAGTTGGTATTTAATGCCAGTGACAACCACAGACCCCATCATCACTGACCACAGACCTACAATCCTGATTGTAAGGTCCTCCTCTTATTCTATTCTGTGTTTCAATCTTCTTGCTTCATATTTTATATGCTTGGTATACTTTATATACTTGGTTCATATACTTAATATTTTATATACTTGATATATAATATATATATCATATATGTATTTATAAAATATATATCTACATCCTTTTTTTTTTTTTGCATGTGCAAAAAGAGAGCTCTACCTCTTGCACCATGTCCCTGGTCCTTTTGCTTTTTTAGTTTTTCAGATAGGGTCTCACACTAACTTTGCCAAGGTTGGCTTTAAACCACAATCTTCCTACCTCAACCTCCTGAGTAGCTGGGATTACAGGCATGTCCCACCACTCCCAACCCCTAGTCATTTTAAAATAAAAATATTTTTAAAGTTTTCATAATATGTCTTTATAACATGCCTTACTCTTAAGTTTTCTTTCTCATAGACATTGTTAATTTGTAGAGCATGGGCTTGTTGGCAGTGAATGATATTTCATTTACCCTGTGCTGATAAAATGTTCATTTCTTTTTAATGGCTTAGTTTCTTCCCATTTTATATTAGCTTTTCTAGCCTCTCCTAAAAAATCTGCTGGAGTCCATTTCTTTGTACTCTTTAAAATTTTCCTGAGTTCTCTTGTGGACAAGGCCCATCTTTCATCAGTCTAATAGGCCAAGGTGCTGGCCAAATACACCCAAGTCTCTATATACTTATAAGCAAGAACAATTTGTTTATTCTGAATGTTTTCATTTAACACACATGTAAAAATGACAGAAATACTTATGAATTTATCATTGTACACATGCATATTACCGTGAACCAGAGCCCTCTGGCTATACGTGGAGACTAAACTCAGAGTCTTGTACACGCTAAGCCTGCACTCCACCACTGAGCTACACCTCCAGCCCTACCCAGCTATACCTCAGCTAAGAAAATCAGGTACAGCTCCTAGTTTAAATGATTACTTCCCATTTATAAAAGGAACTGATATTCTGAAAGCAAAGTACTTAGTCAACTATTAAATGCAGTTTGGTATAACCAGATCAAAGGAAGTCACACAACCATACAAAACGTAATCTCACTCTATACTGAGCCGAACACAGCCATTCACTACCTAGATGACCTAAATTACTGTGTTGTTTTTGTTAAATGAATGTGGAACACAAAAAAAAAAAACCATTAAGGACTCTGCCCAGACGCTCCTTATTTAGCGTGGACTCCCCCAGCATGGGCCATTCTGCAATTTATACACACCAAAGGCCAGAAAGTCACTTTCCTCAATAAGTACTTCTTGCAAGTCACCACCTACTCCTTTGCAAACTGTTCTTTTTACAAAATTAGATCACCTTTAGCCACCACCCACACTCACCTCTGACATACTGAGGGCCTGCCAGAATGCCAGGCACACCTAAGCACACCACCTGATTGACTATTCTGACAACAAAGTGTTGTCACAATGCTTTGAATTACCTGCATACTTAGAGTGATTAACTAAATACATCACTTGTTATTCATTTGCCAAGTAAAGAGAGCGAACTCCTGGATAGCTATTTAATACCTACAAACTACATTTCTGCAAGAAATAAATATAGCCAATATTAGTGTTATAACATTTCAAGATGTCACACAAGAGGAGGAGCCAATAATTCAGTCTTCAAAAATATCAGTAGAGTACTCCTCTCTCAGCTGAAGAATAACATTAAGCCTTTCTCTTCTGTATAAATATGAATGAGCTTTGTAATGAATTATTAGTAAAACACATTCTTAAGTGCTGGAGCTATAGATCAGTGTAGAGTGCTTGCCTACCATGTGCAAGACCCTGTATTTGATCCTGAGCACAGAAAAAAAAATACATTCTTAATTACCTGTTTATAGAATTACTACTAAATTATGGTCAAGAATCTTTAAAGGAATTTCTTATGAAGACTTTTTTTTGCATTTTTAACATGAAGATGATTCTTACCAGAAATTCCATTTTTAAAAATCATACACCTGGCAGCCACTCTAAACCAAGTTCAAATGCCATTCTGCATTAATAAAGGTGAACAGACAACACTCAATGGATGGGGAAAAAAAAACATACCATATTTAATAAAATCCCAGATTCTTGTGGTCGGTGTCCATAAATATGCTTTGCAGTGTTGGATATATGGTTTGCAAAAGCAAGCAAATCCTCCACGGTCCCATATCTGACAGATGACAACCAAGGCACCTCTTGGCCACTAAGCAGCAGAGACTCAGAACGCTCCTCATTTTGATTACTGTCAGGACACAAGGTCATTAGGCTAGGTTCGTACACTGCCGGCTCTTCACTCGCGTAGAGATTTTCCATGATGTCTATTACATCCGACACGTTTAGATGTTTAATTAGTAAATCAATTTCTTCTTTATTATCACTTCCAGTGCTCATGTACTCCATCACTGTGGTGCTTTCTGGAGAGTCTACAAGAGAACACACAAAAACTTAGTTTACTCTGTTGGTGTTTGCACCAGAGACCAAAGGGAAATGGACATGAAATGCGCTGGGAATAAGCTTCCCTATGCCTTTGTTTATAAAATGACAGCTCTCTGTTAGCAGCATGTGTGAATTTAAGTGGGCAGACAGTGCCCAGTTGAAAGGGACCTTAGATCATCTTTAGCCCAGCTCAGTTTGCAGGGGGAAACCTGAGAGGCTGCGAGCTTGCTCACTGTGGCATCAGCTGGAGCTACTGAAAACAAACTTTCACTAAACACAAACACCATACAGACAGCGGCTCACCGATCTTTGAAGACCTGAGGCTCCCTGCTCCATACAGCTTTTAACTTTGGGGTGTCCCCCAAAGTAGCATCCAATGCAAGAATCACGGTGGCTTTTGTGCCTCTGGTGACTTTAAAGAAAAAACAGTACTTGACTAAATTCAGGAACTAACTCAGCAAATAAAATTTAGGCCCCTAGGGCCCTAAGCATTCAAAATGGATTTTAATCTAAGCAAATTTGATGTGAGGTTAAGTTTCAGGAACATTCTGATGCAAATGAGTTAAAGAGCTCCTTGGAAGGTGGGGGAGGGGACTGGAATCTATGAGAAAGGAGATTCTTTTACCAATGATTCAGCAGTCCCCTCATGAGACCAGAATTTTTTTAATAGTACAAAGCAAATCTCTCCAGGGTCCAAGAAAGCTAACAGGATGTCTACCTCAATGAACCTCTAGAAGTTGTGGTAGTAGACAGAGGCCAGAAAAGCCAAATCTGTTATAAACAAGACCTGGGTTAAAATAAGTTGATTGCATTGGCCAAAATTTACATTTCAGTTTTTCTGCACATTCAGGTGCCACACTCAGAAACTACAGCTGAGAAGGAGAAGGTAAAGCGAGGGTAAAAAGTGACTTTGTTCCTCCCGATCTTCAAACAACTCAACCCCATTCCAAATGAGAACAGATAAGCAGATCTAAGAGATCTAAGACAATTTCAAAGCATGTATGTCTCACATAACTACAGAGCTCCCTCAACCTCAAGAAAGCACAGCCTGTCTCTGAAAGATATTTCAGGTTCTTAAAAGCACAAGCTAGGCTGAGCATGTAGGTTGGTGCTGGAGCCCCGGTCCCACCCCCAGCACCACCAAAGGAAACCAAAAAGCACCAAAATGAACACACATAACACTGTCCAGACCATGCACCTAGATCAGATCACCTTAGTGCAAAGCTCTAGGAAATGCCCCTGGGAACCACCTGCCTCTGAGTGCATTCCACTTGACAAAAGAACCACCCAATTCAGTGTTATCATTAATGTATTTGAGGGTCATTGATGTATAAACTGTGCCCTAGGCAAGCACTCTAGCATCCATTCCGCAATCTAATAGTCCTCTAGACTGCTTTTGGTTACATCTCAGCACAATCTACCCTCTCCCCGCCACACTCCCTCCTCCGCCTGCATGCTACTGGACAAATACCTTCCCCTCTCTGAACCTCAATTTCTACCGTGTGCAAAATTGAGGTAATAAGAACATCTACCTTCTCTGAGGTGATTGAGAGGATTAAATGAGTTCAAGTGTACAAGCGTGCTCAGCTAGTGTTTGCTGAGTGGTGAATAAATGATCATTCATGACTGTTTTATGTGCATGAAGGAGAAGTACTGAGTCAGAGACCTGGCTTTGCAGATCCTGCATTAGCCAACATTCGTATCTGCAAGTGGGATGTGGCTACTTTTTCCCCAGACTTTTTTACTGTAAGATTCCAAAGATTGTGTCTAAGCATCTAAACTAAGAGGAAAAAGGAGGAGGAGGAGAACGGAAACCTATGAATTGCTTTGATGGTTACTAACAGCAAACTTAGTTCAAAGATCATGGTGACAGCTCCTTTGCAGACATCTTGTACATCTTTGAGGGAGACTGTGATTCAAGTTATTGGCACCTGTACAGTTAAGGGGGAACTTCTTAGGTTAATGGATCAACACTTGAGTTTGGGTTCACAGAGCTATTTAGTTGCAGTTTCTGCTTCTAGAAAAACAGAAGTTAAAACAAAAAACAAGTCTACTTGAAGGTCCCACTGACTGAAGAGTCTCCGGGACCCACTTATCTAATGGATGACTTGATCAGAAAATAAAGTTCCCAGTGTTAACATGACTCAAGAAAGAAAGAGGGAAAAGGTTTATGCAGTTCAAATTCACTCAGCTGATCTACAGTGGAAGATCAGTTTTGGTTTTTAAATCCTACAGAAAGTCTCAAACATTCACCAAGCACTTATTGTAAAACCTACGAGGTCAGACACACACACACACACACACACACACACACACACACACACACACACAATGGCTAGTTGAGAGGGAATAACATCAGGAGAGAAAGACAGGGAATAGAAGAGTGTTTGACCCTGAGTCTTAGCAACACCAGGCTTCCATCAAGCAAATCTGTGCTATTCACCAAGCCTGATGACCTGTCAGTCTGCTAGTCAGCTTGCTAAATACTCCTGCAAAAAGCCTCAGTACTTTCCTGCCTTCATTAAGCAGACAAAATGCTTAATGAATTTGCATGGTGAAGTTATTCTAATTTAACAGTAAAGACTTTTATATAATATCATTGTCCCTGGACACAGTTTACAATAAAATCCTCACAAAATTCCTACTTCCTAACAGAAGATTGTGCTAATTTTAGAAACAGAAAGAGGTGCAAATACAGTCAAAACTAGTTTGAAACTGAATTTCAAAATAATAATCCAAAATAAACTGCTTATTTCATAAAGCAGTAATGAAATTAAGAGGAAATACTATTCCTAAATATTAATGTAATACTCTTGGCTTCTTCCATGCACATAAAGGAAACTTGAGTGGGTCCTGGCAAGTGTGAATGAAAACAACCAATAGTACAGGCACCAGTTTCTGCCTAACAAAGGGTGAGTATATCTTGAATTCCCACTCAAAAGATTTTTTTTCTGCCAAAATAGTACATTGCCCCGTAGGGTGCATCTCTATGATATTTTTGTTCTCAAAAAGCCCCAGAAAGATGCATTTCAGCCCTGTAGAGTCAAAGTTACTCTGCTTCATAACTTCTAGATACCTAAACTATCCTATTTTCCTTTAGGACAAAGTCCTAAAGAGCCATCTGTCAGAACATAGTGCATACAAATCTCAACCTATCCAGAAAGTTGGGGAAGTAGGCTGGAATTGGATTACATGCAGCAAATAAGACTCAGGCCACAGGTATGTCAAGAACGAATTTAGCATTTCTCTCACTGTTTTTTTTTTTTTTTAAACCAAGAGTAGCTTTTTCTTCTGGACCAAACTTTTGTCTTTCAACTTCCCCCCACCCCTCCCTTCCACCAGATCCTTAAAGCCAAGGGAGCCTAAAGGGCTTGCATGTTATCAAAACACTCATCATTTGGGTGGGTGGCAGCCGGGTCCTCCAGCCTCTGCGGTGCACTCACCAGGTCTCTGCAGAAAAGAGTGCAGCAGTCCAGGCGGCGTCCCCCGCCGCAGGAGGAGCGGTGACCGCGGGTTCCCGCTCCCCCTCGCTCTGCCGAGACTGGCAGTGCTGGGTAGCTGGGGATCCGGGAAGAAGGAGGAAGAGGGAGGAGTCTCACCTCGTGAGACCCTTGCGCAAGGTGCTTTCCAGCTGTGCCTGACTGCAGCAGGCGACCAGAGCCAAGAGCCAAGGCATAGCTGCGCCGGCTGCCGTCCCATCCCCACCTCCACGCCTGCGAGTTCTCTCCTTTGCAGGGGGCACCTTTATTTCTAAGTGGGAACTTCTGGAGTACCTAGGAGTGGTGCTATCCGAACGTTGCCCGGAGTCCCCAAACTCTAGGTTACCTGTGGCCTCTGCGCGCTGCCGTCGGCCCAGCGCTCCAGCCGCGTCCCTCCCGATGGCTCGGTGTGCAGCTGGTGGCGGATCTTCGGGAGCCAGGCACACCGCCGCACCGAAGTCCAGCGGCCGGAGCTGGAGCCAGGGCGACTGGCCCCCAGGCGTGGCGCGTCGTCCGGACCTGAGCGGACAAGTGCGCTGCAGGCCACCCGCGCGCCCAGGCCGTCCTCGCCGGCCCCTGACTCACGGCGTCTGAGCCGGCCCAGGGGCGGCGCAGCGGACGCCAGCCGCCACCTCCCCGCCTTTTCCATTTCCCCTTTCTCTCCGTAAACAGAAAGAGACCGCTCGCTTGCAGGGGAAGCCTGAGCCCCTACGCTGGGAAATTCCGTTCCCCCCACCTTTGGTGTCCTGGGGGCGCGGGGCGGAGCTGAAGGAGGAGCAAGGGAGGAGCCGATCGGTGCTAGGGGCGGAGCGCCGGAATGGGGGAGGGGGAAAGGGACGCCCGACACCCAGTGAAGCGCTGGGACATCGAAGAGTTTTCTCCCGGACCTACAAGCAGAGGGCGTCCTAATGGCGGGTTTGGGAAGGGCGACCAGTGCCTTTTCCCAGTCCCGGAGGACGATCGTGAATCCTGTGTGCTTGCGTCCTCGGGCCTGCCCTGGTGCCCCAGGCTCGGGCGGGGAGGACACGCTCCCGTGCGCTCCTAGCCCTGTGGGACCTGGCTGAAGTGCAGGGGACGCGGGGTGGGGGGTGGGGGAGCGGGGGGGGCTCTGAGCTTCTGGGAACCGCGTAGGTTTCGGATTACCCGCACAGGTCCACGCAGTGAGGACTTTGAGCCTTGGCTTGGTCCACATGCTTGATTCGGGGCTCGACTCGGGTTTAAGGATTTGGGGGAGGCTGCCGCAGGATGGGCCCCAGAACCTGGGGCGGGAGAGGGAGACGAGAGCCCAAAGGGGAATCCATGTGCTCTGGCAGCAGTACATGGTTTGTTCTTTACTGGCTTTATTGGAACTTGTTTTGTGGAACCGTCCCTCTACGAAGTGTACCTGTTCTGATCTCCCCCTAACCTTTAACCCCAAATTGATAATCTGGGATTTTCCTAATTGCATGGAACACGTTACTGAAGGTGAAGCCCCAAGAAAGTTCTAGGGAAAAAGCGCATCTTTCCACGAAATCACTCTATCGGACATTCCTTCCTGCCCTCCCTCCAAATTTCCCCAAATATCTATAGACTAGTAGGAGCCAGGTATTTTGCAAGACAACCCACAGAATGAGAGGTGAGTTCAGGTAGACATCCTCGCCATCCTACCGATGAGGACCTTAGGCTTCTTACGCAGAGCCCGGAATCAAATGACTGAAGCTATATCCTGCTCTTCGCAGTTCCTCATTCCCACGCTCGGTCTCCTTTGGCAGGTTCAAAACTGCATTGGTCCCGAAAATCGAGGTCCCCACGATTCTTCTGTGGAAAGTGAAATTCCTCTGCCGACCTAAGAAATCCTAAGAAAATTACTGACAGAGGCTAGCTAGATGGAGTGAGAGGCAGTGCCCTCTTCATAGGACCTTAACTCGCATAGGAGCAAAACCAAATAGGAATGGTGATGGCTAATTGACTGAGCTCTCATTGTAAATGCTAATGCTAGGTGAGCGCTGTGACTGACAGGGTTGACGCGCGACAGTCTACAGACGGTCGCATGCATCCCGCAGAGAGCCTCTTCTTGGGAGGCTTGGTGGTCCGATCGTAGACCACCAACCCTACTGCACTGACTTGGCAGAAGTAGCCTGTGCCCAGGCAGAGGTGGAGAAGCCCCGCTAGCTTGGATGCCCACTCGGTGGAATTTGGTGCCCGCCCAAGAGCTGATTGTCCATCTGGGCTGAAACGGAAATATTGTACCCTTCAGCTTTGTCGCTGGGAACCAGGCTTGCGCAGGTTAGTACCTCTAGTACCGTGACAGTGTCTGTCCCTCCTCTGCTTTCTTTAGGCAACAAAGGATGAGCTTTATAAACATTTTAAAAATAGAACCATGGAACCACTCCTCTCCCTGCCCTCCTTGAATGAGCTCATTAAAACCACACCCAGTTTTCTGGGAACTAAGTATTAGCCCTACTTCCTACATAGAGGTCTCCCAAATGCAGCTGCATCTGAAGGAGCTGATGCAATCAATGGCTTGTGCAATAGGAGAATTCATCTGTTAGGGCAAATTAGGAGGTATTACTTTAAAACTTGTTTAAAGCCTAAAAAGATTGAATCTGACCTCTGAACATCCTGAAGGGTGAAAGCAACAGAAAAAAAAAAGTTTTCAGGCCTTTCTTATACAGGCTTATGAAAGTAATTCTGTCCTTTCAGGAGCATGCTAAAAAAGTGTGTGTGTGTGTGTGTGTTTCCACATGTTGCCCAGGCTAACCTGGAACTCCTGCCTCAATCTCCAGAGTAGCTGGTCTACCGGTGGCACCATTGTACCCTGCCAGAGTGAGTTTTAAACATGCCAGTGAGAAGCAACCTGACCCAGAGTGTACACAATCTTTGGGGAGGTGGGTGTTGAGAGGGAGACTGGGTCGTTTTAAAGAAGACAGCTGTCTTAAAGCTGTTTGCAGCGGGTGTTGGTGGTTCACACCTGTAATCCTAGCTATGCAGGAGGAAGAGATCAGGAGGATCATAGTTTGAAGCCAACCCTGGACAAATAGCTCATAAGATTCTATCTCGAAAAAAATCCAACACAAAACTGGGCTAGCAGAGTGGCTCAAGTGTCAGAGCGCCTGTCTAGCAAGTGTGAGGCTCTGAGTTCAAATCTCAGTACTGCAAACAATAAAAGAACAAAAAAACAAAAAACCCAAAAACACAGCTGTTTGCACCCAACAAAATGTACTTACAAATTAAGTACTAACCAGGTTCAGTTTACCTTCACTCAGGTTAGGACAATAATGAGGTTGGACTTTGTGTCTGGGAATCTGAATTCATTTGCTCATTTACTCATGCAACAAACAAACTTTATTAACAATAGGTAGTAGGTTACTTAGCCAGTCCATTAATCTATATAATCACAAATTCTGCTATATATTAATAACTATAATATGGAGCACTGTTTTATCTTTTTCATATTTATAAAATATAGCCAGGCATAATGGTGCATGCCTGTAATCCCAGCACTTGGGAGGTGAGGCAGAAGGATGGAGAGTTTGTAGCCAATCTGGGCTACATAGTGAGACCCTGTCTCAAAAAAGCAAAAATAAAATAATATGTGGAATTTTATGAACAAAATAAACTGGAAGAAATCGGGATGCTTACATGTAGTTTAGTGAAAACTATGGTTTGGTTTTCTCTTTAAAATTATAATAAGACATAAAGTATTTGAGGAAGATTATTCAATGCAGAGTATGAATAAAACTTTAAATATTTTTTTAAAGTTCAGAGGACATTGAGTGTGATTTTGTGAGCACAACTTTTTCCATACAGTTTTGTGTTGAAACAGCTACATGAATTTAAGTAATGTGTAAATGATCTCTTCACACTTCTGATGACTACCTTCAGGTGACAAACTGTACACACTTAGGTAATAAATTTAAAACAATTTTCAGGTTTAACAATTTTAAGCAGTTGAAACTGGGTTTTAAAAATCCCATAGCTCTTCTTTTTCTCTCATTAGCATCTGTAAATTTCTTAGGATAATGTGTGTGTATTTATAATATGATCGAGCCTTTTCACACTTTGTGTTTTAAAATGGCAAAGCTTTAATGTGCAGAAGATGTTTGCTTTATCAGAGAAGTTGGCTTGGATGCTGCTAAAAAGTCACCTCAGCCCCAAGGATTGTGGGAGTGGGGAAGTCAGTACTGCCTCCCCAATGTGGGAGCCAGCACTTGTCTCCTGCCTTCCCCCAGCCACCAACTGCTCCTTGGGCTTTGGCCATGTGCTTTGTTACCTGAAGCACATGTTCCTTCCTCTTGCATGGCCTGGGTCCCTGTGCATCACCAGGAGCAGCATGTTCTGCAGTTGCTGGTGGATGGAGGAACTACTCAGCCTCGCTCTTCATGGCATGGTGGGTCAGGGATGTTCATCAGAGTTGTGGGGACCACGGGGCACATTGCGAGGTTCAGGCCTGCCCCAGAAGCTCCTTAAGACATCTTTGATGCCCCTAGCAAGGCAAGGAGTCCTGGAGCTTCAGGCCCACCTGCCTGCCTTTAGGAATGAAGGTATGAGTGTGTACAATGCAACCACTGCTCACCAGGGTGCAAGGCTAGGCCTCAACCCCTTCACCCCTTCTCACTTCCACTTCTTCCTAGGACTGACTATAGGCAAGGAGTGCAGACGAGGACAAAAAAGACAGTCTTCTCTGTCTTCCCACTTCCTTTCACCTTTTCCTCCCCTTTGGGACCATCACTGTGCACAGTAGGAACAGCAACCAAAGAAAATAGGGCCTCAGCAGAGATGGAGTCTTTACATGAGGGAAGGGAAGAGAAGTCCCCATAGCCTTGGGAAGGGAAGGGGAGTTCCTAAATGGACTCAGGCGTGGCTGTTGTTTAAATGTGAGGACTGTGTATAAGCTGGGCCTGTATATGAATGGAGACCATCTGTTCTTTTGTGCAGAAAGCTAAAACATAGGCCTCCAAAGGCCTAAACTGCAAGGTTCTATATAAGCATTGTGTTTTAAATTTTACTTGCTAGTGTTGTTACTTCCCCAAATTTGAGCTCCTTGGGCCCACTTTGAAAGCAGAAACTAGTGCTCTGGGCCTCTTTGTTCCAACTCCCAAATGGAAACACCTTGTACAGCATTTCTTAATCCTGGCTTTCCAAAATGACCACATAGCGCGGCTGCTCCAGACACCATGTGAGGTTCTGTCCTTGGGCCTATGCAGTAGCTTGCATTTGTCACACAGAGGGAGAGAAAGACTCAGTCTTGGTCCTCTTCCTAACCCCCCCACTCTCACAAACTTCCTGGAGCCAAATGTCATGAAGTGCCCCATGTAGATTTGTGGAGATTATCCACCAGCAATCTTAGTCTCCTGCCACTCTGTCACCTACCATCCTCACAGTCTTCTCTGTCCCCAACATACACAGCTCCTACCAGTGCTGATAGAAAGGGCACTGCCTGTGCCATGAGAGAACTGTGGTCAGCATGTTGTTCGAGTGGTGGAGGACTGACTAACAAAATAGCACATGTACAGTCTGATCCTCCCTCTGCACATGCAAGCATAAATGCATGCATGGGTAAAGAAAGAAAAACAGGATGGGTGTGGTGTCACATGTCTGTAATCCTAGCTATTCGGAAGATGGAGGATGGTGGTGCAAGACTGACCTGGGCAAAAGCAAGAGACACTACCTGAAAAACAGCAACAGGACTGGAGGTGTGGCTCAAGTGGTATAG